TCTTTCATTACTTTGTACTTAATCACATAAAATATCTTTACTATATTAATTCTATATACAATATGCCCTACATAGTCTTTAAATCTACTGCACATTAATCTAATTGAATTTTGATTTCAATTAAAAAAGAAAAAATTGTATCATAGCTTTTAAAAAATTCAACTTTCTTTAACAATAATTATCTATTTCATTTCAATCTTAAGAATAAAACTTTTCAATAACAAATTTTTCAATTTTCGCCAAGACCTTTAAATATAATTGAATTGAAATTTGAAAATTATCAGCGAACAAAATACTCTATACTGAATAGAAAAAATAAAAACTTAAACCTTTTTATACAGGAAATAACAAACACTTTATATATAGAAAAGAAAATTTAAAAAATTAAATAAAATCTATGTACACATTATTGTAGGAAAACTATAAAATGATATTTTCAAAATAATGACCGAAATACAAGTAGCTATATGTTGAGTACTGTAGTAAATTTAGCTCAAAGGGCTCAAACAGCTCAAAATACTGAATGCACCATAATACTCAACTTAACAATTTAGAAAAATATGCAATAGGAAAATTGAATATTTGGAAAAAATATTGAATTAAAATAAAGATAATTAGATAGAAATTCAAATTATAAAGACTTTTCGAGCACATAGGTAATTAATTATTTTGCTTTTAATTATTAGAAATTTTATTTTTGGGAGAAAATTTTAAATTTGTCATTAAATATATTGGACAATAGATAAGTTAATATTGAAATCAACAACTGGATAATGTCCTTGTAACTATGTATTGAATTGATTAGCACTATTACCTAAAGAGATTAATAAATCAATTATTATATATATATACGAATTTCAAAGTTAATATTCCTATTAAACAAAACAGTTGGCTTTAATGAAAAAGAACAACACGTTTCTTGGTTTTAAAAGTTCTTTCTAATTTTTTCTCGAATATTCTTCAGTTATTCGTAATATAATTGAAGAAATTAATTAAATTAAGCAAAATTCAAAATACATGTGACATTGAAAATTATTTTTCTCAAACAATGGCCTAATTTGAGTCATACACAATTATTTGAAATATTTTTATTAGTTATCTATTTTTAGTCAAATATCCTTGACTTCTATAAAATACAGTAATACAGTATTAATACACAATTCAGCTTATAAGTGTTAATTGCTGAATTGTCTATTGATAATGCATTTTCGAAGTCAATTCATATTACTTAATTTTAAATTGTAAAAAGACTTCAATTTTTTCGATTATTTATTGTAACATTTTGTATTACATATACTTATAATTCATTTTTTATACACGAACACTTTAAAAACAAAAAAGGAAAAAAAAACGATAAAAACAAAATTGATTTTTTACCTCACTTAAATGAAAATCTTATAAAACAAAACTTGGAATTCCTTTATAATATTAACTAGACTCATTATTCTCTATTTTTTATGTTCAATCACCTGGAAATAACTTGACAAAGGAAGTATTTAAAGTTCTTCCACAAAGTAAAAACCACAAAAAAAATTTACCGTTACTACGATAACTAAATATACGTTCTATTAAAGTGAAGTGAATGTTAAGAGCACAACAGAGAAAGACAAAAGCACAAAACGCTGTTGTTCTACTTTCAGAACATTAATTTTCTGTGAATCAATAGCCATGGGCAAAAAATCCTATACAAAGCAATATTATTAAAGAGAAATGCATGAAAAAAAAAGGAAAAATAAATTGAAATTTTAAAAAACTGTTATATTTAATTAATACTTTTACCTTGATAAATTTTATTAACTATTTAGTTTCCTATTAGTATTCTTATTCAGTTACTCAACATTCATTTGGGCCAATTACTATTTTTTTTTTTGTTTAATAAAGAATTGCAGCCCCTTTTAATTAAACGCCTCGTGTACATGGTACTTCCATAATCAAGTCAATACCGAATGCCAAGATTTGAGCGGATATTTGCAAAACTACTATGACTAATTGTTTTAATATTGAATGGCCTATCTAAACGGACAATCATTTCAATTATCTTCTATGTTTAAATTTAATCCAAATTTTTTTTCACTCTACCTACTGCTATCTCTCTCTTACTGCCTCCATATTCCTTTTGTTTATGTCCATTTAACTCGATTTCCTTTTGTCATTTTTTATAATTTTACAATTTATTTTTTTTCTCTTTTTTTAAACTCACAGTTTTTTATTTAAGTGCAAATATACACGTATACATTGAATTTATTTGTAACATTTAATAGAAAAATAAAAAAAGAAAATAATCTTTATTTTTTTCATAATTTTCTCAGCTTCCTTTCTAAATTTTCTGATTGCAACTAGTATAACAGAATGTAATAAAATTTTTAATTTCTTGCACATATAATTATGAAATTTGTTTGACATTACAGACTTTGTCTTCTTATCAGATTAACTGTGAGATTTTGGTTATTATTTTCGTTAAATTGTTAAATTTTAACGTGAATTTTAAGCTCCATCTGATAATTTCTGTCTGATATGTAAAAAGTCATCAAACAATATCATAGACTTAACTTTAAATTTTGTAGTATATGAAAACAGTACCCTAAATTATCGCTAATCCGATATTCATCGAATTATTTCCATAGCAAATTCACAAATTTTTTATGAAAACTAGTATACAATTTTCTGACCACCTTATGATTATATGTGAAATGCAATGCAGCTATTGACCATTGTATTACTTTTATAACAAATCTTTTCATTATCTTTACATTCACGATCTTCAATTTCAATGTTTTTTTTTTTCACAAGTAGTATAACATTATTTTTAGTATTCAACAATTCAACAAACTTATATTTAAAATATAAAACTGTAATATTTATAATTGATTGTTGTGTTGTTTTTCTTTTTCTTTTCTTAAATATTATCTATAAATTTAATCCAATTTTATAGGAAATATAAAAAATAAGTTAAATTACACATGAAATCAATGTTTAAGATATGAAATATAGGTGAAACAAAGCAAAATGTTTTTAGCAGTTTTACAACAAAATTGGGAAAAAATGGGGTTTCTATTTTCACTCAGTTCGTTTGTAAATCTATTTCGCCCCCTTAAGAAATTACAATATTTCAAAGCCCTAAAAATACAATTTTTCAAAGTCGTAATGAAAATTGAAATATTTTATGAATTTTGTTGAACTCATTGCCATTTTACTGCAAAATATTTTCAAAATATTAAACTCAAGAGGAGTATATTACAGTTTCTTACAAAATTCAGAAAGAAAAATTATATTTTGCAAAAGAAAACTAGTACTCTTCATATTTTTCACAATTGAATTAACAGAAAACACAAAAATTTCATTAAAATCAAATATTTTAAAATTTTATAAATTAATATAAAAAAACAGGATAAAAAATAAAATAATTATTATTTTTCATTAAGTTATTAATTTATCGGTAAATGATAATTTCATTCAGCCTTAGGCAAAAATATAACAAATTAAATATGAGACAGAAACAAAAGGCATCAAATTAAAAAATTTAATTTTAGCTGTTTTTCCATTTTTTTTTTAAATATGTGTATGTATGTCTGTATGTATAAAATATTGAAAATGTTGTAAATAATTTTATTAAATTAAATTATTTTCCATATAATTAAATAAACATTCAAATAAAGCAATTTATTAATTATAATATAGTCATAATAATTTGGTTATTCTACTTATAAACCTAATATTTACTCTATTTATAAACCTAATATACATAATTACAATAATGGAACTGTTACATCTGTGTTAAATCTATAAAATATTTCTGTAATAAATTTATGATAATTAAACAAATGATTACCAATAGAAAATAGTTATTCAATGTTTGTTATTTTGTAAAAACAAAAATATTAGTTTTGGAGGCCCTTAATAGTATAAAAAAAAATTCAAAATATTCTTTTTGATAACAAAAAATAGGTAATTATTTTTTATAACAATGAGATTTTCAATCGGCAGGTCTTACGAACAATTCTTTTTTCCTACACTAGTTAAATTTTACAACTCCAGTCTATTAAATTTTAGGGAGAATTCAGAAAATGACTTCTTGAAGTCTGAATTACTTTTTTTAATATAGTGTAGGATTTCTTTAGAAATAAGTAACGAAAGCACCTTTTTTGTTATTTATTTTCTGTAGCTTTTAAACATGCTTGAAAATTACAATTATAAAATTATTCATCAAAATTTTTATAGTTCAAAAAATCGCTTATCACTTTCCTAAAACCACATTCGAAATTCATGAAATTTTTATTAGATAATTTTAGATTATTTAAGAATTCATATTAAATCATTTAATTAATTTTTAAAATTTTTAATAATGCCTCACTACAGTAGCTCAAATTAAATTAATTTATTTTGATATTTCACCATATTTTTTTCCATTTTGGTACTTATTCACCGTCAAATCGCGCAATTCATTTACAATAAGCCCTCCACATGTCATATTTCGCGCTAACTAATAATACATTATTAAAATTAATTTAATTATGCTAATAAAATTGTTGTCTTATGGGCAAAATAACGCTAATTTGTCTTAATTCTCATTAGAAGTATAAAATCGGTTAAAATAATAACGCATGCATGTACCAACTTTTGCAGCTGTATGAATTAGTAGTAGTCAAAAAAATATTTAATTTTTTTTTATGTGATTTTTTTATATTAACAGAATATTGTTATTTTTTTTAATTTACATAAAGTTATATATATAAAATTAAAGCTTAAAATGCAGTTTTCAAAAAAATATAATTGAATATTAAAATAATTTATTGTAACCCTGTATATTGAATCAAAAATTAAAAAATAATTTTAAAAATTCAGGTGTATCAATATTAATTAATCAAGTGTTAGGGCTCGGATAGTCCAATTTTACCATTTCAGAAAGATAGTTAAAATTGTGGCAGATTTTTAAAATCATTTCAATCTTAATTATTCAAAATTTTATTAAAAAAAATGTATTTTTCTTTTATTAATTGCAGAACATCACGATTTAAAAGGATTACACAGTACTTATCAATATTTGAAGAGCACTGGCCAAGTAAGTGTCATTTTTCCTTTTATTTTTTATTTTTATTATTATATTTTATTAAATATATTTATTATACATATTTGTGTTTGTTTTTTTTTTTTTTTAATTTCTGTAATTAAAATAATTCAAATTAAATAATTAAATAACAAATTAGATTTTGTATTTAACCAAAAAAAAAAAATTTTTTTTTGTATATAACCAAAAAATAAACTAATAAAAAAAAAAGAAAAAAAAAACAAAAATAAAAACAAAAAATAAATAAAATTCAAATTATTATTTTAAATTATAAAATTTATAAAATTTTTCAAATCATTTTTTTTTTTTGTTTTTATTTTTCAATAATAATTAAAATTAAATAATTTTGAAGCAAACACAATATAAAACGCAGCAACGCGACGCTCACTTTGCTTTATTATTAAATAATAACAATATTGTATTATAATTATTATTGTATGTAGAATAAATAATAAAATTAATAAAAAATAAATATTTAACATAAATTTACAAAAAAATATACATACATACATGTTGTATTTAAAATATTAAATAACTGTAAATAACACAAAACATAACAAAATCATAACAATATTTTAGTTTTGTTTTTTTTTTTTGGATTTGTTTCAATTTAATAACGATAATAAAAGAGTAATAATAATGACAAAGAGAAAGCACATGGAAAATTTAAAAAAAACAAAAAAAAATATTTAATTTTGTTATTATTTTGTTTTTTTTTTTTTTTTAAATTATTCTAATAAATAAATAACACACATACACAAACACACTTATATACAAAAAAAAATATTTGAAAAACACAATTTTACACAAATACAATAAAGAAATTTTTTTTTGAAAATGAAAAAAAAAAAAAAAAAACAAAAATTTTAAATTTGATCGAAAGCGTATGAGGAAATGTTGCACTGGTAGTCGATATTGTCTATTAACTAAACTATATTTTTGGCTTTGACTATTATTTTGATGGTGATTTTGTTACTATTTGCTATAATCTATATCTATATATATATATTGTCTATTTTTGTACTATTATCTGTTTTCTATATATATATATACAATATACGTACAATCTTTAATTATGTTATATTGTGAATTCTAATAAATTAATACAAAAAAAAATTTTTTTGCAAAAAAAGCTTATCACTGCTTAAGGCTATTGCAATGTTTGCTATCCTACTGTATTACATCTCATCAATAATTATAATATTATATTTATATATATATTGTGCGAACAATATTATATATTTTTATTATTGTATATAAAAACTTCTAACAAAATTTGTATATATACAGTAGAACCTCTGTATAACGAACATACGATATTATTTCAAAGATCGGTTATTTTATTTGGTCATAGAATTTTATTGTGTTTGAAAATTTTCAACATCTTGTTAAATTTTTATATTAAGAACAAAATTTGTCAATATTCGGTTTCAGTTACATAGAGATTCTATTGTAATTGTATATATATATATACATAATATATACAAATTATATATACATATAAAAATTTCTTCCTATATAATAGATTCCTATACCTTTCCAATATCATGCATATTCATTAATCATACAAATCATAATATCTCTCTTTCTCTCTCTCTTATATATTTAATTCAAAATATAATTAATTGTTATACATACAATGTATAAATAAATAGCAAAGAAGTTTTCTTATAACTTGTACTGCACTATACATTTTATTACATTGTATAGAATATTATTATATATTAAACCTGTTTATTCATACACATCAAATTGTTATAATTGTATATCACTTTAGAAATATTTTAAAATCCAATCAAATATAAATATATTTGATTAAATCATATTTTAATTTATGATAATAAAATTATTAAAAAAAAATTTTGAATTTCATATTTAGAATTATAAAACTTTTGCTATAATTGTTATACGACATAAAATTTTATGATAAAATTAAAATTTATATATTTTTTTTTTCAATCGTCATAATTTCAATTGTTATAATTGAATATAAGCAAAAACAAAATAAAAATTTGAAATTGCAATTTGTTATACATAATTTATAATATTTATAATGTAATAAATTTCCTTTATTGTTATACAAAAAAAGTTATATAGATTTTTATAACTTATTTAAAAAAAATAATTTAATTATTTAAAATAATTTTAAACACTTAAATTAAATAGTATAATTTGTGATATTAAAATAATACAATTTATTCTTATATTTTAATATTTCTAATATCATCGTGAGAGTCATTGATATATTAAAAATTATGAAAATTCAAGAGCGTGAAATATGATTTTTCTCATTTCATTAAAAACTCACCAATTAATGGAAAGTAAAATTTAAGTAAATTATAATATAATATGCTCTTACGAGTATTGGTATGTATCAGCTAGAATTTAAAATAAATTTATAAAATATTTAATGTGAGAAATTTAATTTCGAAATTTTACACCACACTTATGGTATTGGCAACAAATTAAATTATTAGAATTTAATTGATTACAATAAGAAAGTATGCAATTATTATTTGGAACATTGAAAATTTAAATGATACTTATTTAATTATATTTTATGTAAACACAATATGTGTTATATTAGGTAACAATTATGAAATCATATTTACATTTTTACTCATAATTATATATTTAAAATTTCAATTATTCTACTTACTTTAAACTAATAAAAACACATTAGACTATATAGTAATTCCACTTTGTTTCTAAAATATCTCAATTACATTATTGTTAAGTGGTGGTTTTTATTGTAGCATAAAGACCTACTTATATTTAATATTTATAAGTATGTATTATATTTATATAAATATTTCCTTTATTAGAATAATTACAATACCCAATTATTGTCACAATTTATGTGATAATTAAGTGGTTCTTAAATACATTGTGAATTGCTATAACATTTTATGTAAATTCGATACAAATTTTTTCTAAATTCTCAATTAGTGTAAATTTGTTGTTTTTTAAACATTAAGTAATTTATTTAAATTTCAATCAATATAATTGTAGCTGATTCAATGAAAATATTTCATTTAAATTAGATTAATTTCAAATTTATTAAAATTTGATTATTAATATACAGTCAAACTCCTATAAAACAAACTCCTGTAAAATGAACTTTTTGTATAAAAACGAATTGTTTTTGTATAAAGACAAACTAATTTTGTTAGAAAATATAACAAATTCGTGTTAGGGAGATTCGACTGTATTTATATGAAAAACAAAGAAAAAAATTCTCTATGCTTCTCTAATTTTAAAATTTTGTTCAAAATTGATTTTTTCATTTGTTAAATTGAAAAGCCTGTAAAAATTATTCTAATTATTTTTAAAATTAATAACTAAAAATTATACATTAAGTATAGATTATTAAATTTCTGATACATACACAAATAAAAAATAATTATTATAAATAAATATTAAATATAAATTAATTATATTTTATTATTAAAAGATTTTCTTCATCAATATCATGGCTTCTTCCCTAAACATTAAAACACCCACAAAAACACATAAAAATCATACACACTATACACAAAATTCTTATAAAAATCTCCTAAATCTCTATTTTACCTAAAATAAAATAATAAAAGAAAATAGAAATTTGTAAATAACATGGGAACAAAAATATAAAGTAAATAATTTTTCACACTTTCTCATATCGATCATTTGTTCTAACCAGAAAATTTCATTTTCATTTGACATCAACAAAAAAATTGGCAACTAATTAAAAAACAAAAACAAAAAGCAAATGTAATTAACAAAGAAATTCATTAGTACTCTATCTCTCCCCCTCTAACTGTCTCACTCTCTATCTCTGTCTCTTTCTCTCTCTGTCTCTCTAACTCTCTCATTGTATCTCCATGTCTTTTAAATCTACTTCCGTTCCGTCTTGTTCGTTTTGTTTTTTTTTGTTTTGTTTCTCTATTTAGTCTTTATACTATTTAGAGATCTCAAAATAATCTCTCTGTTCTTCGACCTTTTTACCCGTCAAAATTACGTATATCCCGAATTTTTAATTTTGTATATTATCTTGACCTTGTATAATAAGTTTAAAGAGGTTATACTCGTATTATTAAAAAATTATTATGTACAAATATATTTACGTAAATTTACAATTATTCAAAAAATAATGGAAGGAAAAATAGCGGGAGAATGAGGAAGCAAAATGTTAAAAAAGTACATTTAACTGTCATCTCTTATATACAACTCTATATTACATTTACACATAAATATGTTTATTACAAATACAATATAAAGATAAATAAAATTTTAAAATAAATAAAAAAAAAACAACAATAACAACAAAAAATAAAACAACGAATATTGCTAATTTTCGAATATAACCATTTTTTGGCTTATAATAAATAAGATATGAGTTGGGTGTTAAAAAAAAAGCCTGTTAATAATTTTATCTGATGAATTTTAATTTAAAGAAAAAAATTCTTTATACAAAATATAACAATGGAAATTATTATATAAATAAAATAAAAAATTTATTTGACAATAGAATCTTATTGTTTAATAAAAATTTCTTTCTTTAATAATTGAGTGGACAAAATTATAAATGAAAAATTTTAATTGTCTTTTTTCTCATTATTTATTTAATTAATTATTATTATTGTTTTATATTATAATTGTGTTTTATAATAAATAAAATTATATATTTTTTGATTATAATTAGTGAACACTTTTCTTTCATTCATTTACCAGAAAATGTAAAGACACTTTTCACCCCAAGATTATCAAATTATCTCTGTTTTAACCTTATATGACTCTTACTTTCAAAATTAAATAGAATTTATGTAAATAGGAGAACAACAACGTTGACAAATCAACTAAAAAATTTAATTGGCTATTATTTATTATTTAATAAAATATAAGAAAATTTTTTAATTAATTTCAGTACAGCACCATTATATTTATTGTAAGAAAAACGTATTGTAAGAAAAACATCAAAATTTGGCAATATATCACGTTCTGTATTGTAACTT